GTGACCATGAACTTGCACAGCGCCAGGCGGGCCTGAAGGGCAGGGAAGGAGGGTGGGGCCGGTGCGGGGGAGTGGGGGTGAGGAGAGCAGAGGAACACAACTTCTGAATGATTGCGACTCGAGAGACATTGCCGGGGTGACCATGAACTAGCACAGGGCCAGGCAGGCCTCTCTCTCTCCCCTCTGCCCCTCTGCATACCCCCCTGCAAGCTCTCACCTTCCCTGCGCCACTCTGGAATGCCACCTTGCGCCTCGGGTATTGCCCTTGTGGTTGCGCCTGCCACCTTCCAAGCCAAGCCGAGAGATTGACCCAAGCCACCTTGCATCACAGTTGATTCTAATACAATACACACGCCTTGTGCTCATCTTGCCCCCCTACCCCTGCCCCTGCCCCTACCCCTGCCCCTGCCCCTGCCCCTGCCCCTGCCCTTGCCCCTGCAAGCTCGCTCACCTTCTCCCCGCCACTGAGAAATTGCACCTTGCGCCTCAGAGTGTCGCCCTTGAAGTTGCATCTGCGGGAGACGCGGGGGCGAAAGTGGAGAGAGGTGGGAGCGGGATGGGATGGGAGAGGGGTGGGAGAGGGGTGGGAGCGGGTTGGGAGAGGGGTGGGAGAGAGGGAACAGAAAAGCATAATGTCACTCTTTAAGGTACTTTTAAGAAAAGAAGAAAAAAAAAAGGGCTTGAAATTGCACCTCCAGGCAGGGTGGGAAGGGAAATCAAAAGCTGACTTTTGAGTCGACTCAAAAGTCACCTCCAGGCAGGGTGGGAAGGGAAATCAAAACCAATTTGAACGAGGGGGGTAACGAAAGAGAAAAAGAGGAAGGATTCCTTTGACCTTGCACAGAAAGGGGGGCAGAAACGAGGAAGGGCAGATGGTTGGGCGAGGGGAAGAGGGGGGAACAAACTCGAAGGATCCTTTGACCTTGCACAGAAACCACCTGCCCCAGAAAACGCCTGCCCCAGAAACCACCTGCCCGTGAAAACGCCTGCCCCAGAAATCACCTGCCCCAGAAAACGCCTGCCCCAGAAACCTACATCTCCCAGCCGTAGCTCTCCCAGAAATACCTTCCCTGCCAAAACCTCCCCCCCACCCATTAACACCTTCCCCAGCAATACCTCCCCCGGCAGCGCCCACCTGCCCAGCAGCGCCTTGATGTCGTTCATCTTCCACCCCTCCGCCACCTCCTCCACCGTCTGCAACACCGTCTTGTCTAGATCCAGTGCTTGAGCCTAGTGGGAGAAAGTAGGGTTGGGGACAACGGATACGGCAAAAGAGGAGCAGGGGGGTGAGGAGAAGCGCACCCCTCTGCCACCTCCTCCACCATCTGCAGCACCGTCTTATCTAGGTCCAGTGCTTGAGCCTGATGGGGGGGATATTGGGAGAGACACAGGAGAGAACAAGAGGGACAAGGAGGGCAAAAGAGGAGCAAGGGAGTGAGGAGCAGTCCACCCCTCCGCCACATCCTCCACCGTCTGCAGCACCGTCTTATGTAGGTCCAGTGCGTGCGAGTGATGGGGAGGGAAGGAAAGGAGAGCGCATGGAGAGAGAGAGAGAGAGAGAGAGAGAGAGCTCTTGTGAATACAGTCGTGCTCGGGCTCTTCAATTCAAACCCCATGATGAACCGCAGCAGCGTGCTCTTGCCGCACCCATTCGGCCCGATGAACGCCAGCTTCTCGCCGCGCTCGATCTGCAGCTTCGCCCTGTCGAACAGCACGTTCACCTGCTCCTCCCCGCCAGCCCCGTTGCTGCTCCCCGTTCCCCCCCCCCGCTTAGGACCGCACGTGACCACTCTCCATCCCCCACAACGCACCTGGTTCTGGGCAAAGTAGTTGGGGACAACGCGGTGCTCCCCCAGAGCGACGATCCCATGCTCGGGCTCTTCAAACCCCATGATGAACCGCAGCAGCGTGCTCTTGCCGCACCCATTCGGCCCGATGAACGCCAGCTTCTCCCCGCGCTCGATCTGCAGCTTCGCCTTGTCAAACAGCACGTTCAGCTGCTGCTCCCCGCCGCCACCGCCCCCGTTGCCGTTGCCGGCGCTGCGCTTCGCGTAGCTGTGCGAGAGGTTCGCGATCTGCACTGTGATGCGCCCGCTGCGCTCCAGCTCCGGGAAGCGGAACCGCATCTGCTTCCGCTCGAACGGCTTTTCCACCGCGCCCTCTTCTTGCAGCCGCTCCAGTGCCTGAGGGGGGTGGAAGACGGGGGGTATGGGGAGGAGGGGATGGTCGGAAGGGGAAGCGGAACCGCATCTGCTTGCGCTCGAACGGTTATTCCACTGCGCCTTCCACTTGCAGCCACTCTAGCGCCTGAGGAAGTGAAAGAGAATGGGGGCAGGGGAGGGACGGATAGCCGAGTGGAGCAGGGATGAGCGGAAGGGGAAGCGGGACCGCATCTGCTTGCGCTCAAACGGCTTCTCCACCGCGCCCCCTACTTTCAGGTGTTCTAGTGCCTGGGGGGGTGGTGAAAGGGGGAAGGGGGGAGGGGATGACGCGGATAGCATGGATGGATGGAAGGGGAAGCGGAAGGGGAAGCGGAAAAAAAAACGCCTCTTTCTCGCCCCTTCTTCCCGCATGCTTCTCATCTTCGCCCTCTCCCCCTCACCTTCTCCGCGGAAGAAGCGCGTCCCGCGTTCCCCCCGCCCTGCAGCCGCGCAATCATATCCTCCGTGCGCGCAATCTCCTTCTGCTGCCGCTCCCACGCCATCCGCTGCGCCTCGACCCACTCCGCCTTAGCCGCCACGTACGCGCTATAATTCCCGGGAAACGTCATGCTAATCCCCATCTCCGTCTCCACAATCTTATTACACAACTGGTCTAAAAACGCGCGATCGTGCGACACGATCACCATGGGTACATCCTGCTGCTTTAAGTACTTCTCAAGCCACTCGATCGCGTCTAAGTCCAGATGATTAGTAGGCTCATCCAGGAGTAATAAATCCGGCTGCTGCAGCAGAATCTTACCCAGCGACATTCGCATTTGCCACCCCCCGCTATAAGAAGCTACGAGCCGCTCCGAATCCTCCGGACCAAACCCTAGCTCCGGCATCATCTTATTAATCGCCACGTCAACGCTGTACAAGTCGAGCGCCTCGGCTTTTTTCTGGAGGTCGTCGAGTTCGTCTAGGAGCCGCGACATTAACTCCATGTCCTCCGTGGCGCGCTCTAGCGCGGCTTGGACCTCCTCAAGCCGGTCTTTTATGTCCATCTGCTCCGCGAACGCGGAGAGAAACTCTTCGCGAACCGTCCGCGAAGGGACGACATTGAACTCTTGCGTGAGGTACGCAATCTTCATGTTCGGCCGCGCTTTAAGAACAACGCCTGTGTCCGGCTCGATTTCCCCCGTTATAATCTTCAGCTGCGTGGTTTTTCCCGCGCCGTTCACGCCGACGAGACCCACGCGCTCGCCGCGCTTCACCTCCCACGAAATATCCGTTAAAAGCTGCACTCCCTTGAACGTCTTGGTGACTCCCTCGAGCCGCACTCCGGAAGCCACGCTCGACGCTCCTGCACGATCGCCGGCAGTTTTACCGGAGCCGGCAGACTTGCCGGCTCCGCGACGAGGGGAGCCTGGAGGGGTGCCGCTGGAGGAGGTGCCTGGCGACTCGACATGTGGATGCGAATGGTGAATTTCGTTAGGCTGCATAATCCCCACGTCGACTTCCTCCTCCACCTCTACTGCGACGGCGGCCTGCGACAGTTGCGACAGTTGTGCGACGGGTTTCTTCCCTTGGCGAACTCTGCACTCCGTCGGGCGAAACGCGCGACGCTGAGTGCCGTGGAGGGGAAGATTGAGAGAGGAGCCATGGCGGAAGGGGATAGAGAGAGCGTGGAGCGACATGGGCTTAAGCTTAAGTGTGAGAGAAGAGGACGGTAAGGACATGGGATTGCTGCGAGCTTGAAGAGAACAGGCGGGTTTTGTTGCGGAGCTTGAGAGCACGACGGAACCGCTCATTGTTTTCTCCGCGAATGGTAAATTGCCTGTCGCCGAGAGCTGAAAACGAGAGGAACTGTAGTGACAACAGTGCACAGCAAACGCGTGCCTGCGCGCAAGAAAAGGAGCCACCTGAGTCGTCAAACGAAACGACACACTAAGCTGTTGCGCTTCCTGACTCAGCGAATGCCTAGTCAGAGAGAGTCGCTTCGCAGGAAAGAAACGTGACAGGTTCAGGAAAAACAGATGGAAATGGCAGCCATGGCTGGAATTTAGGGTGGAGGGAGTTCGGGAAATATCGAGGGACAGGGAGGCGAGGTCCAAACCGAAAGCAACAGAAAGTTGACGAACTTTCTAACGAAAGCCGGACGCCAACGAGGCCAGAACGGCGAAGAGCAGGGATGACGAGAATATGGTAACCACTTGACTATGACATCCCAGATGACTGGAAGCGGTCTCCGATCTGACGGTCGGCTCCGATTGATGGTGGGAGATTCGTTGTGGGAACTTCGAGATTGTTTGAACCTCTGAAATGATGCCAGTTGGCACCGGGCAACTTTCTGTTAGGGTGAGGCAGGAGCGACCATGATTGGCTGCTGTGCGGTAGCAGAGACGGCGTGGCGGCGCCACAGAGGTTACACGCAGGCGAAGCCGACCAACTGGCACGCGCGACTGATCGCGATGGAAAAGTGCATCCACAGAGAATCGCGTCGCGCAGGTGGACAGCTGCGAGCTCGAATCTTCCTTCTGCCACGGAATCATCAACAGAGAACAGAGATAAATCTGCACCATCATCACCAGCAGAATGCTGATGTGGGGAGATATCAGCTCAGGTCCTCCCCTGTCCAGTACAATAACTAAATAATAATTTGAAAAAAGGTGGTATAATGATATAAGGGACTGCAATACATCACAACGTAATTTCCAGCCTACCTATCAAAGCACAAGGTTTTGACATAAACTGCACGTTTTACAACGATGACCCATACAAAGAATGCCATACATGCTTTCTGTGAATGGAAGTGATAGTGCCAACTAGCGATTAGCATCTCGAATGCCTCCATGCACCTTAGGCAGACATGATGAGGAAGAAAATGAAGAGAGCAATGGCAAACACTGCCATCACCCAACACGTCTGTAACAAGAGAAAGGGGTTGATGGGTGAAAGCAGGCATGACGTGATGGTATCAGACGAAATAAGAGCCACGTGATAGAAGAAGTGTTGAGATGTCTCAAAAAACACTAATTTTATCACCAGGGGAGGGGGGGAAGGGAGTGATGAAGGGAACTCATGGGTGGAGGCAAGTAAGCGTACTAAAGAGCTGGACTGGCATTGAGTCTATTTCAGATGCAATTGGAAAATCACTACGTGAAAAGTCACTCCAGGTTTAGTGGGCATACAAATGAGCTGGACTCGCGTTGACTCCTTGCCGCCTGGGTGAGCTGCTTGTTGGCGTTCACTGCCTGTGCCCTCGACCCCTCTATGTTCGCCTCTATGTCATCTGCAGGGAACAAAGGAGGAAGACGCACACAAGGGGCACAAGGGGCACCACAATGGGCACAAAGGGGCCCAAGGGGGCACAAAGGGGCCCAAGGGGGCACAAAGGGGCACAAGGGGGCACAAAGGGGCACAAGGGGGCACGAGGGGGCACAAAGGGGCCCAAGGGGGCACAAGGGGACACACGAGGGGCACAAGGGGGCACAAAGGGACCAAAGAGAGTATGTGAGCTGCTTATTTGCATTCACTGCCGGTGCCCTCCAACACGCAACAGCGCACCTCGTTAAAAGCTGCTTGCATGCCCTTGACTCACCAATCATGCCTCCCTGCTTTCTGACCAGCACGGCCAGGTCTTCAAAGATTGCATTCACCTCCGCTATCTGCTGCTGAGTCCTTAAATGCCTATGGACTACTCATTATAAGCTTAAACAATCATGGCGAACCCAACAACTAGCCCTTGACTCACCAATCATGCCTCCTTGCTCTCGGACGAGCACGGCCAGGTCTTGAAAGATCTCGTTCACCTCCACTATCTGCTGCTGAATCTCCTGAATGCCCTGCTCCCGCTCCTCTATCACTGCCTCGTTATAAGCCAACTCGCCTTCCACCACTGCCATCTCATGTCTGCAACATGGAAAGGGAATGGGCGAAAGGGCATGGGCGGTTGTGGACAGGTGTGAGTGGGTGTTGGCCTCGTGTGGGGATGTGTGAGGGCGTGGGACAGATTGTGTGGGGGGGTTGGGACGGGGTGTCTGAGGGTGTGTGGTGGTGTGTGGGAGTGCGTGGGGGGGTGGGACGGGGTGTGTGCGGGGGTGCGAGGGATGAAGAGGAATGAAAGCCTACTCACCCACACACAATGCCCTCCCACACTCACCCACACCACACGCCCTGCTCTCACCTCTGCTGTGCTAGCAGCGGTCTCTCTGCTCCTCTCTGCAGGTCAAATCCTACAGAATAACAAAAACTCTCAGCCACCCGCACCACCCACCCCGCTCTCACCTCTGCTGTGCTAGCAGCGGGTCTCTCTGCTCCTCCCTATCCGCCTGCTCTGCCAACTGTGCCCCACCTGCCCCTCCGAAATTGGACAAGCCCACACTGCCTGTCCCCCTGGAGACAAGAGGGACGGGAAAAGACCACAAAGGGGCATGCGTGAAGGGAAGAGGAGAAAGGGCGCGGGGTAAGGAAACAGCGCCAAGTGAAAAGACGTGAAGGTGCAGCGCGCGCTCAAACTCACAACTCTCTCCTGTCTCACCACCTGTAAACCCTCTCACTGCACAAAAGGTTGCCTCACACACCCAACTCCTCTCACGCAGCTCTTCCCTCTCCCCCTGCCTGACGACCCTCCACCCGACCCCAAAGAGACGTCCCGCCTAGAGCGTGGGAAGGGGAAACCAGTCCCACGCCAGTCTCACGCACCTCTTTCCTCTCCCTCCGCCTGACGACCCTCCAGACGACCCCAGCGAAGCCACCGACGGGGCCCCTCCCGCGCCCCAAGCGGGCATCTGCGCGTTTCCCCCGCGGCGGGGGCTCTCGAAGGGCGCGAAGGCGGCCTCCCGCTCCGCCGCGAGGTGCTGCGCGCGCTCAAACTCGCGGAGCACAGCTTGAAAGTCCTTGGCTAGCTTTGCATCGCTAATCTTTTGTGTCGCCTGTGTAGATGATGAGGAAGGAAGACGGGAGGAGCGGGGAGGGAGGGATGCGTGGGGGTAAAGGGCGGGTGTGTGGGGCGGGAGGCGAGGGAAGGGGAGATGGCACGCAAAGTGACACCAACGGGGTGGTTGCGCGCAAAAGGATTGGGTAGTATGAGGGCCAGGTCGACGAAGGCGGACGGGGAAGAGGAGAAGCGTGGGGTGGTAGGAGAAAGTGGAGGTGGGGGAACAGGGAGGGGGAAGAAAGGGGGGAAGGTGGGGTGTGAAGGAGATGGCACTCACGCTGACGCCAGCGGAATGGTCGCGCGCAGAGGCATCCTTGAGCTTCTGCGCCGTGTCCTTGGCCAGATGGCTGATGTACTGCCGCGACTTGTGCCTGCCGTTGACGGACGACGACGAGGAAAAACGGGAGAAAAAGGAAGTGACAGAAATGAGGATGTTTGCAATGAGAATTCAAGTAGCACGGCAGACGGCCAGGGCTGCGCACGAATGAGTTCTCGAGACGTGCAAGAAAAAACCGAGCACAGGGACGAGAAGGAGAGGACTAGGATGAAGACGCAAGCAAGGGCTCGAAGGCTCTCAGGTAGGAGTAACATATTCCGGTACCAAAAGCCACGTGATGATGACAGACGAAACCCTAACGGCACGTGGGTGCCGGTACAGCTTCTCACGGAGTTCAACAGCGCTCTTCGTGCTACTCAGTGTGCTGACAGCACGATAAAAACAAATTGTTTAATTAATTTAACAAAAATCCTTGGCTCTTCGTGATCTATATATGATAATCTCGCCGTACAGCTTCTCACGGAGTTCGACGGTGTCCTTAGCGGTACCCAGCGTGTTGACGAGCCGCTTGAACGTCCCCACAGCCGTGTTCATCTGAAACACGCCTGACGCCACCGCCTGACTTGACGGAACCGTCTGACTTGACGTCCCGGAAGTCGGCCGACCGACTCCGTTCATACCCCCACCGGCAGGGCCCGACGACCGGCCAATGTCCTGAAAGCTCATGCTGACGTGGCGTCGTGGAGCGGTCTTAGTGACTTCGCAATCTGAAACGCCTCGCTTCCACTTCGCAGCTACCTGAAATTAATCCTATGTAAACCACTCTCAGTATTCTAAAACGTTCAACACGATGGCACAGAGCGGTGGTTTAAAAAGATAACGCGTGTACCTACTGTTGCGCGGTTCTGCGTGATCCTGCTAGATGACTAACATGTCACTCAAGGGCTAAACTCCAGCCACTTCGAGCCTGCTCAGCATCCACCCATGCTCAGCATGCTCCTGCTACTACTATTGAAGGTTCTAACTGTCAAGCAGATTGCTCGTGTGTACAACTGCTGCTGCCAGGCTAAGAATATTAGGCTTCATAACGATTCACGGATTAATCGAACATTTCCTCGTCAAGTCTCACGACTCACGGAACGCAAGAAACAGCAATCTGTTTCTCCTGCGCGGTATGTGAGGCCTACCAAGCTGAACCTCTTTTTCTACCAAACAAATTCTAGGGTAATCTGTACTGTGATAGAACCTAATCCGTTAGCAGCATGGCAACTTCTAGACTGCGGAAAAGCCCGTTTCGCGTCCGCGGAAAAGAGCACAACTCAACAACCACCAGCAAACTCTGCACTGCCTGTGTGCGAACGAATCTGTCTGAACATCCCTATTTCAACCGTCGTTGCTTGTTGGAACAGGGAAGTGACGAATTCGTTGCAAGTGCGTGATGGTATGGTGCGATCTGGTTTGATATGGTTTGGAAAGATGACGGTGAGGTGAGGCGAGAAGCTAGACACGCTGCACACGGCAAAGAGGCTTCAGGTGCGCGAAGACATCCTCGCCTAGAAATTTCCGTTACAGACAGCGAACCTGATAACCCACGTTATTGGTATGGGCACCTTTTGCCAATGAACCAAAATGAGGAACTTTGATATGACATGGCTGAATCATCCATAATAAAAAAAGCCCTGAAATCACTACAAAAATTTCCATACAGAGTTTCGTCTGAACTGGATTGACCCCGTCATTCTAGGACACGAGTATCACCAGTCATAAATGCCATAGCCTGTTTTCGGGTAAATACACAAACATACCATCACAATTTGCATTTTATAACAGAGAGGTCCAAAATGTACATATCAAATTACATAACTATCTGCAGATTCCCGACTATTGATGGGGAGAATCGGAAGATGTCTTTCCACATCAGACGCGAAGCGTCCAATCTCTCTTCTGTGCACCCCCACCCCCACCACTTGGGGCAGGGTGGTGGGTCCAGCACTCAACAAGCGTGGTGCTTGTGACCCTCCTTGCTCATCTGGCGTGGCGGAAAATGAGTGGTCGACTGTCCCTGCAGCACGTCTCCACAATTAGGGTCTGGGATGCGGTTGAGCTTTCATCCACCTCCTTCCTTCACGGAGCGCGGCTCGTGGCGAGATTTGCAGCTCCTGATCGCAGCACGTTCCCGTGCGATCCTGTTCGCTCGAGTAGCGAAGTTTCAGGAGGGTGTTGCAATACTCCATCCGTGTCTCGCAGGGTGTCGCCTGCATCACATTTACAGAGACGGAACGCGCCAGCAGAGATCAGACCGCGCGTCGGAATGTCAGAGACAAACCCGGGGGAAATCTAAACCGTCCGCTGTTCTACATGTACACAAACTGAACAAGCGAAATGGCATATCAACTGTCCGATCAGCACACAGGTCACGAAACCGATGAGAGGTGGTCACATCTACTTTCGAGGTGTGTGTGTACTGTACTACTTCCCAAAAAGCAGGTAGGCAGGCGACGAACAGAGAGGGGGGAAGAGTAGAGAGTCAACCTAGGGAGAAGCTCATTTCAGCTCGCACAACCTGCGAATAGAACAAGACGTAGCCACGAACACGCGAGAGCAGTCTAGGTAGGGACTCGAGAGTGAAAGAAGGCGGCTTGGAGGCGACAGGTCACGTAGAACTGCCTTGAAAGTGACGGGCGTGCTGGTCGGAGCCCTTTATCCGTTTGCAGGAGCCATAGACGTTCAGCCTTGCTAGCCAGGGCGCTCTTCTGTCGCCTAAAGACGCGTTATCCATCAATTACATCGTGCCTGGCATTTAGTGCTGCCAGAGACTTGCCTAGTTGTTGTCGCCTTGTTGACGTGTCTCTGATTCTGACAGGTCCTATTACCGCAGTTATAACTCTGTTCGCTCAGTCAGAAGCTTAGTTCGTAGGCGTCATCCGTTAGTTACCGTGTACTATTTCCAACTGATCTTGCACTTTCCAGGTGTTTGGATAGCTGCTTCTGCTGGTAGTTAGCGAATTGTTTTTGGCGTCTGATCAGGCGATCGTAGGCTATCTTGATCACAATCCCAGCCACTGATCTAGCTTGTAGCGAGCACATGGCAAACAGCAGTCCGGAACCTCACCTACTTAGAGTTTGCAACACGTGGTTGACCAATGGCCGAGCAGCAGCAGAAGCGACTATTCTAGTAACTGGAGGAGCAGGGTACATCGGTAGCCATACATGCGTCCAGCTGCTGCATGAGGGCTACAGGTAACAGTCACTAGTCGACCCCCCCAATCCCCCCTCCCACCCTTCCCCCCTCCTCCCCCTCTCCCCCCCTTACTTTTTTTTTGTTCTTCGTCGACCAGTTCCTTCAGCTTCTGTACATCCTTTCTTTAGCTCCTCATGATACGTTTCTCTGCGAGTTCGCTGGGACATGCTCCTCACTGATATGCGTGGCTACATGGTGGTTGATGTAGTTCCTCCGATTTATCTGCTACGTGGCGTCCTCAGAGTGGTTGTGGTCGACAACCTGGACAATTCATCGGAGCAAGCCGTGAAGAGAGTGGCGGGGCTCGCAGGCGAGAATGGCAGGAACTTGCAATTCTTCAAGGTCAGTCGAGAGTGCTTTCCGTTATTTACGTTCAAGGCCCGTCAAATCTGCTCTCCTAATCATTTACATTAACATTCTTCAAGGCCAGTCAAGAGTGCTTTCCGAACGGAATTATACAAATGCTCGACTGACAAGACGCAGTTATGGTACTGGCCTGAAATGTTGTACATACGTACGAACTAGTAATTGGTGCAATCTACAGACATCCCCAGAGTTACACCACCCAGGAATAGTGTTGCTGATTGAATTGAGTGCAGGTTGACTTACTTGACAAGGAGACACTTGAAGAGCTCTTCAATCAAATTCAGTAAGTATAGAATCCAAGCACCAGACCTGAAAAGGGCAGGCATTGAAAACAAAGCATTCTTCCGGACTGCAATTTTCCATTACTTAAGTGTGTATTGACTCGTCGAAGTTGAGTTTTGAAGCGTGTTAGAACTCGTCAGTGTAAACGCGGGAGGGAGCCTGAAGCAATTAAGCATGGAGTCAATGAAAGTAAGACGCATTGACTATCTTGCAATGTCACACTCGCAGTTTCGACGCGGTGATCCACTTCGCGGGGCTGAAGGCCGTTGGAGAGAGCGTCAAGTTCCCGCTCAAGTACTACCAGAACAACGTCACCGGCACGCTCAACCTGCTGGAAGTCATGAGCGACCACGGCTGTAAGAAGGTACGCTTCATAAGTTTTTGTTTTCCCATGTTTCAGCTCCTTTCCATGATCTCCCATCCTCGCGGATCATGTAATCATCTTCATCAGCCACGGTGTACGGCCAGCCATAGCAGGTCCCGAGCCAGCTATTCAAGAATTGCCTCGCTCCCACCACAACGTTTTGTTTTTTACACCCTCGAATCTTCTCTCATCCCCTCTCTCACAGATCGTGTTCTCTTCGTCAGCCACGGTGTACGGCCAGCCGAAGCAGGTCCCGTGCACGGAGAACGACGAGCTGCAGACGCTGAACCCGTACGGCCGATCCAAGGTACGACTGGGTACGACGGGCTTATCAAAGGATCGGCAGGTTAAGGTGTACGGCAGATCAGATGGATGTACTATATGTACCATGGCAGTAATTTCCATTCCATGGCTAGCTTATCATCGGGACCCGATTACTTCCCCTGCATCAACAGTCAAAATCGCCATTACACGCCCTTCGTGTGTTTCGTTCCGAACATCCCTGTTACAAACCGCCTCGCGTGCCGTGCTGTGTTCTGCAGCTGTACATTGAGCACGTGCTGCAGGACGTGTAAGCGTCGGACGCCACGTAGAGCATCGTGCTGCTGCTCCCATCGCATTTGTGTTTCGTGCCAGACATCCCCGTTACAAACCGCCTCGTATGCTGTGTTGTGCCGTGCTGTGCTGCGAGCAGCTGTACATCGAGCGCGTGCTGGAGGACGTGTACGCCTCGGATGCCACGTGGAGCATCGTGCTGCTGCGCTACTTCAACCCCGTGGGCGCGCACCCCAGCGGGCGCATCGGGGAGGACCCGCGCGGCATCCCCAATAATCTGATGCCGTTCATCCAGCAGGTGGCGGTCGGGCGACGGACGCATCTCTCGGTGTTTGGGAGCGACTATCCCACACGTGATGGAACCGGGGTGAGTGGGAGGAGTGCGGGTGAGCATCGGAGGGTTGGGGGTGAGTGGTGTGGGGTATTCGTGGGGTTTGTTTCGGTGAAAAGGGCGCATCGGGGAGGACCCGCGCGGCATCCCCAATAATCTGATGCCGTTCATTCAGCAGGTGGCCGTGGGGCGACGCACGCACCTGTCGGTGTTTGGGAGCGACTACCCCACACGCGATGGCACAGGGGTGAGTGGGAGGAGTGAGGATGAGCGCGGGAGGGTTCGAAGGGAGGAGGTGGGGGGGTATTGACGGGAACGAATCATCATGCCTTCATTTCTTCATGGCGCCTCGAAGGGAGCCATGGAGCCGACGAGCTAGCGCCATTTTTCCTCCTAGTGGTAGATCGAAAGGGAATGAGCCATGACTTGAGCTATTTTCACGAGGTTGCAGCTGCCAGTGCATTTGTTGCAGGATGCTTTCCCGTTGGTGGTCCCCACGGTCCCCTCAGCAGTGGCATTCAATGTGCAGGTCACAATACTTGTTGTATTTTATTTACCTGTGACAACGTGCTTCGCACCATTTTCCCCCATTCCGTTCCGCAAAACAACAAGCAAAACAACGCATGTTCCTGTTCCAGTGCTGTTTCTTGCTTGTGGTCATTGAAGGGAGTTTTTGAGAATTCTAAAAAACTCCCTCATGTTCTTGTCCCAGTGCTTTTTCTTGAGAATTCTCAAAAAACATAAACTGTAACTCATGTTCTTGTTCCAGTGCTGTTTCTTGCTTGTGGTCATTGACCCCCCCTCTCTCCCCACCCTTCCTCCCCCCTTTCCCCCTCCCCTGACGTGTGACGTGGATGCAAACCCTTGTGACGTGGCATGACCAGGTGCGGGACTACATCCACGTCATGGACCTTGCTGCAGGCCACGCAGCAGCACTGAGGCGAATATTCATGTGCCAGGCTGGAGGTACGTGACGTGGCAGCCAGATGTAGATGCAGGAGCATCGGCTCTTTTTTCCATAATGTGCCTTTCTACGCCTCTGTCTCCGCTAGTCTAGAACCCCTCGTTGTGGTCGGTACTCTGGCAAAGACCTCCAGTGCAGAGACCCTTTGCACTCCCCTTGCACTCCCCTTGCGCTCCCCTTGCGCTCCCTCACACTTCCCTTGGCTAAACCGCACCCCTTCGAACTCCCCTTCCCCATTCCATAACCTCCAGGTTGTGACGTGTACAACCTGGGCACAGGCAAGGGCACCACAGTGCTGGAGATGGTGGCTGGATTCGAGAGGGCATGTGGCCAGGTGAGAAATCCCTGCTGCTTCTTCCCCTCTACAATCCCTACACAAACATTGTGGTTCTCCATAATAAACCACCTCTGAGCCGTTTCAATACTGTTGTAGTCCACTTATCCAGTCGCACGTCGATGAGATGTCGTTTTTCCGACTCCTGCTTTTGACCTTCGCTTCTCGCAATAGCCATACCTCATATTCATTGAGTGTGCGTGCTCTGCATTCATTAATCATTACCTGGGTTGTGTGGCTGGCCTCGATGCTTCCTGTCATGCAGAAACTTCCCGTGAAGTTGTGTCCTAGACGGCCAGGAGACTGTTCTGAGGTCTTTGCATCCACAGACAAGGCACAACAAGACCTTGACTGGAGGTGAGATGAGATGTGCTGTTTTTGCATCTAGGGTTGACTTTGAGTTCATGTGCTTCTCTCTTTCTTGTGGCCTAAGTCCATTATTGCGAGCATGCTTATTTGGTGCTCTTATCACCTGTGTTTTTCTTCGCTTTACCGTGGATTCGTTCATGCAGAGCTACACGCACTGTAGAGGACATGTGCCGCGACCAGTGGAACTGGGCGCGGCAAAACCCAATGGGGTATGCAGCAGACGAAGATAGTGAGGAGGGGGAGGAGAGTGGAGCAGGAAGGGATGCAGTAAATGGAATTGGTTCTCTTGGAGTTTTCAAGAGCAGAGGCATGGGGTGCCGAAAAGTCTCACTTATTAGCATATCGCCAATTTCGAGTTGCGGGTCTCTGGGGTCGCTCGATGACTACCCTCGTCTTGAAGGCCAACAAAAAGTTTTGTGACAATTAGGTAGCGGCATCGGGGTGGAGCTGCATGGGAGCGTGTATCCTGTGTAGTGTGGGTAGGATCTGCCATTTGGTTTATTTATGCTCCTCTTTTAGCATCATGTTGTCAATAGGTGATCTAATTAGGACACCAATAAAACCGTTTTTGAAAGGTGATGATGTTCCACTGTGAATCGTTCTAGCTCCTAGAATTTTTCATAATGCACTGCACTCTGACACGATGGTGGACCGAACTGGTCGGCTCAGCAGGGAGGTCCCACGTGGCGACGTGTCGGCAAGCGCTTTGGTGACGACACGTCATGGATCGGGTCCGTTACGTCAGTCGAATGCATCTTACTTGGGCGACATTTTTAAAGTGGATAAACGCTTTCCTTATCGCCTAAATTTGTGAATGTTTCGAAAGTATTAGTGTTGCACCACCTTGAAGTCCCCACTAAAAGCAGGCAATCCTCGTCTGAATGAGGATAAGGAAGGAATCCTTCCACGGTTTGAAGTAACTACGAGACCCGAGTGCGGGATAATTTCACAGACCTGACCTTGCATCCGTCTAGTTGCCTCCGCCCCGCCTCCCCATTTCTGTGCTTTTTTTCCTCGTCAAGCAAGCAACCTTCACCCCCCCCCACCCAACCCTTCCCAGTTCCAATCCGAGCCACCCTCCCAACATTTTACATATCTCGTTCCTGATTATCTTTCATTGCTCCTTGCTCTATCTTGCTCTGACATTCCTTGCGCATATTCCTAGCCGACTGCCCCCTCCGGCCGCTGCTCCTGTTGCAAGGAGTCCTACGCTTTTCTGACTGCAGCTTCTTAGGCTGCGCTTGAGTTCTTCTGCTTGGCGGCTTATGTCAGCAACGATGGTGGGAACCGTGCGCTATGTCCTGCTTCTAGCCCTAGTCTCGCTTATCGTCGTCCCTTTCGTTCGCGCGGACGATGACGGATTCGATAACACCGTGCAATCCGATAAGATCGTCGATGATGCCTCGGATAATATCTTGGGATCTACGGAGGTGAATCATGTCCTCTCCAAGCTTCCCGCCAGCCACCCGCTGCTCGGCGCGCTGCGCAACCCGGCGGAACACTTCGCGCGTTTCATCCACCGTTTCAACAAGTCGTACGCGGCGGATCTCCACCAGTACCGCGCGCGCCTGCGCATCTTCCGCGCTAACCTCCTCCGCGCGGCGCAGATCCAGCTGCAGGACCCTTCCGCGGAACACGGCGTGACTCCCTTCTCAGATCTCACCCCAGAGGAATTCGCCAAGACGCATCTTGGCCTGCTGCCCGTGGATTCCGAGCGGTCCGCGCGCAGCGCATTTCTGGAGAGCCTGAAAGCGGAGGGACGACTGGAGCGGTCTGAGCTGCCGACGGGGGATCTTCCGGAGCAGTTTGATTGGCGCGAGAAGGGCGCGGTGACGGGCGTTAAGAATCAGGTACGTTCGAATCGGGAAATTTCTATTGGGACCTGGTTCAGAGATAACCATCGGGGGGAAGAGGGCATGGGGATCGGGTTTGGCGCGAGAAGGGAACGGTGGAGGGTGTCAATCCGTCGGCCCATCCTGCTGCATCTCGCTCTTCGCCCTTGTCTCTCCCGCTCCATCCAGGGCATGTGCGGTTCGTGCTACGCGTTCAGCGCCGTCGGCGCGTTGGAGGGGGCGCACTACTTGCAACCCCCTCTGTCAATTCTGACCTCTCCTGCTCCGCCTCCCCTTTCCGCGCTTGCTTGCGCCGCCTCCTTCTTTTCCCACCTCCTCCCCACCCAGGGCATGTGCGGGTCGTGCTACGCGTTCAGCGCCGTGGGCGCGTTGGAGGGCGCGCACTATCTGGCCACGGGCGAGCTCATCAGCCTCAGCGAGCAGCAAATCGTCGACTGTGACCATAACGTGAGTGGGGAGGATGTGACTGTAACGTGAGTACGTATGTTTGACCATAGGGGGCAAAGTCAGCAAGCAAGCGTAGGAGGCCGCGCACCATCTGGCGACGGGCGAGCTCGTCAGCCTGAGCGAGCAGCAGGTCGTCGACTGTGACCATACCGTGAGTGGCAGTGGCAGCATGTGACTGTACCGTGAGTGACCATAACATGCTCGTGAGATCAGAGCAGTCAGTAGTTACCGATTCACTCTTTCATGGTGCTTGCTATTCCGAGTGCCGTGCCGCATGAGCAACAAGGGGTGACTGGCACCATCGCACCCCCCTTTTTGCGTGTTTCACCTTGCAAACTGAACAAGAGTATAAGTAATGTGTTCCGTGTGCATCTACCCGCTTCTCCCCTCTCCCTCCCTCGCATCCCGCTTCTCCTCAGTGCGACCGTAAGGAGAAGGAGGCGTGTGACTCTGGCTGTGGCGGCGGGCTCATGAACAACGTGTTTCGCTACATTCAGAAAGCGGGAGGGCTTCAGAAAGCGGAGCAGGAGTATGGATACACGGGCAGGGAGGGGCGCTGCCAGTTCGAAATCAAACCCTCATTCTCACCTCTTCCCCCTCTGTCCTCCTCCCCTCCTCCAACCCTTGCCCTTCCCTTGTCTCCCTTGTCCGATTTTGCCTTTCCCCTTCTGATTTATACAGTGCGACCCCAAGGAGAAGGAGGCGTGTGATTCCGGCTGCGGTGGTGGGCTGATGAACAACGTGTTTCGCTACATTCAGAAGGCCGGGGGGCTGCAGACAGAGCAGGAGTATGGCTACACTGGCAGGGAGGGGCGCTGCTAGTTCGACGCAGGGCGCGTGGCAGCGAGAGTAGAGTCGTTTGTTGAGGTGCCTGAGAAGGACTATCAGATGCAGGCACACCTGGTCAAATACGGCCCGCTGGCAGGTGAGAACATTGCTTTGTGTTTAGGCATTCGTGTAGCTGTGTGAAAGAGGGTGGGTGGGTGGGCTGGCTGGCTGTGAGCCGCGAGGGTGGAGTCGTTTGTGGAGGTACGTACCTCGGAAGGACGATCCGATGCAGGCCCACCTGGTCAAATATGGCCCACTGGCAGGTGAGCGTTCTTCTTTACACGCTTGAAGGACTGGAAGGGTGGGCGGGAGTGCAAGGGAGTGTGAGTGAGAGTGCAAGGGATGGCGTTGGGGCAAGGAGTATGGATATACACGGGCAGGGAGGGGCGCTGCCAGTTCGACGCAGGGCGGATGGAGTGAGGGTGGAGTCATTCGTGGAGGTGCCTCCAAAAGATAATCAGATGCAGTCCCACCTCGTCAAATACGGCCCGCTGGCAGGTGAGTGAGAGGCGGGCAGACTCTCTCAGTGTGTAGTGCTGTGAGGGGTGTGAGTGTACCCCTGAGGAGCAGACAAGGAGTAGCGAGGTTTGAGTCGTTTGTTGAGGCGCCTCAGAAGGACTATCAGATGCAGGCTCGCCTGGTGACGGCCCTTTCGTAGATGAGCTGGTTAGTTGTGTGGGGAGGTATGTGAAGGGCGTGTTCTTCCCTCTCCTCTGCAACCGCCATGGCTTGAATCACGGGTTGTTGATGGTGGGGTATGGTTGGCACGGGTTGTTGATGGTGGGGTATGGTTGGCACGGGTTGTTGATGGTGGGGTATGGTTGGCACGGGCTCTCTTCCGCTTCTTTTGTAATCACACAGACAGTTATCACTCCCTTTTAACAAAAAGAATTTCTAAGGATCTTGGATGCTTCTGCGTACAAGATCTCGAGATGTTACAACGTTAAGTGCGTTAGAGATTGTTTAATGTTGTAACACCTTGAGTTCTTGTACGGAAGAGCACCCAAGATCCTTAGAAATTCTTTTTGTTTTCATTGTTGTCACTTACGTTCAACCAAAATGCGTGTTTTTACGTCAAGAATGTCTCCTGTCCTCTGCTCTGCAACCTCCATGCGTTGAACCACGGGGTGCACATGGTGGGGTATGAATCACACGGGTTCTCAATTACCACCTCTCTTGCCCTCCCCACGCCTTCCTGTCCCCCTGCTTCGTCCCACTCTTCCCTTCCCCACTTCTACCCTTTCAGTTGCTCTCAACGCCAACTGGATGCAGTCATACGTGAAAGGCGTCTCCTGCCCTCTCCTCTGCAACCGCCATGCCCTGAACCACGGTGTGCTCATGGTGGGGTATGGGTCACACGGATTCTCCCCTGCCCGCCTGCGCTACAAGGACTATTGGGTGATCAAGAACAGCTGGGGCAGCGCGTGGGGCGAGCAGGGGTATTATAAGCTGTGCCGGGGCAAGGACGAGTGTGGGATCGACTCATATGTGTCTGCTGTGGTGGCTGTGAAACCTGCAGCAGGGGTAGCGACTCAGTAACGGACGTGCAGTGACACAGGGAGAGGCGTGGGTCGAGCAGGGATACTATAAGCTGTGCTGGGGGAAGGATGGGTGCGGGATTGACTCGAATGTATGCGCTGTGGTGGCTGTGAAACTGGATGGTGCTGCTGCTGCTGGTGGGGATGAGGTTGGGGTAGTAATGGAGTAAGGAGAGGTGAAACAAGGAGGTGGGTGGTGGGGATTGGGGAGGGGGGCGGAGGTTTTACTGCGTTGGGTCGTACCGGTTGTCCCCTGCACAGGTTCCTCTCCCCTGCGCGCCTGGTTGTGCTGGTGAGAGGAATCTGTGTGCTGGGTTGGAGAATGGAGTGAGTAGCTTCATCAGAGTAGCAATTTCGTGACTGCTGGGAGGCGGTTACCGTAGATTGCTGTCGGGATTGCTGACTGGAATGTTTACACCATGAAGGTTGTGGATCTCGAATCACTCTAAGATGTTCGGATATGCACTGTTTGGATTTTGTTTGAAGCGCTTCTTCGAAGTTGGGCATGTTTTCTGCGTCGTGTGAAAGTTGGGGGAACACTGAACTCTGGTATCGGTAGAGAACATTGCACCCATGGTACAAGCCACATGAAATTTGAGACATCTCAAAAAACGGTGCATCCATGGTAGAAGACACATATGAGTTGATTGAGAGAGTGACTTTGTTACAGCATGGACCTCCCAAGTGACTACAGGAAAAGTGACCCCAAACATCTGAGATGTTACGATGTACTACGAAGCTTCTAAACAGCAGGATTCTTTGCATCCTAGTATGTAAAATATTGTAATAATTTCGTGCTAGACAAGCATTTGTTAGCTATAGCATGTCCAACTTCATTCCTCACAGGAGATGTGATTTGTGACTTGGAAATTGTAGACATCTTGCACGGTCATGTACCATATCAGATCTATTTATGAACAGTGAAACACGCCAGCCGTGGAAATTGCAGCTTCAGATGGTCGTGAGAACGATCCTGCATAAGAGAGCTCGAAGTAGGACCACCAAAAAAGCGTGAGAGCTGTTTGTAACGAAACAACGACAACAAAGGTGCTTTTAAAACAATACATACACGATCGTTTCACACCAACAACACTTGGACATGGTTTGGGATGTTACCTGTATTCCCACGCAGCCATTGACATCCAGTGTTTGCAGGGAGGTACAGCAAGAGGCAGAAAGGACGACTTTTTAGTCGACTCACGAATCATTTGGAGCCTTACCTGTATTCCCACGCAGCCGTTGACATCCAATGTGTGCAGGGAGGTACGGCAGGAAGCGGAGAGGGCAGCCATGGCCGCATCTGTGACCCCCCTTATGCCGTGTAAACTGGGGAGGGGAGGGCAGAGAGGGCAGTCAGAAAGTGCAGTGGGCGAGAGAGGAGGCAGAGAGGGCAGGTATGGCCGCCTCTGTGACCCCTCTTCTGCCGTGCAGACTGGGAGAGACGGGGGGAGTGCGTATGGAGTGGAGCAGAGGGGAAGAGGGACAGCGAGAAATGTCATTTGAGGGTAGGAATGGCCGCATCTGTGACCCCCCTAATGCCATGCAGATTGGGAGAAACTGAAGGGAAGTGCGTATGGAAGGAAGGCGGCAGGAAGAGAGGGAGAGAATGGTGGCTTGACATGGGAGAGCGGAGGTAAGAATCAGAGAGGGCAGACATGACCGCACATGTGACCCCTTATGCCATGGAGGCTGGGATAGACAGAGACAGTGAGTGCGTATGGAAGGGAGGGGAGCAAGGAGAGAAAGAAGGTACTGAAATGGGCATTTTTTACGTATCAAAAAGCAGCAGACATGGCCGCAACTGTGACCCCTTATGCCGTGGAGGCTGGGAGAGGAGGAAAAAGGGAGGTGGAAGGTGAAAAAGAGAGAGGGGGGGTGAGGAGGGGAAGGTGGAAGTGTGGAGTGAATGGGGGGCGTGGGATGAGATACTTTGTGTCCCAGAAAGAATGCGAGTTGAGACACAAAGTATCTCACAAAGTACTTTGAGTCGACTCAAAAGTCTACTTTGTGTCCCAGAAAGAATGTGTGTAAGTTTTCTAGCAGATTGATTACTCAGAAGAACATACCTTAGAAGCTCGATATGATGACAGGACAATGCCACTTGGATGAGGCCTTGATCCGTTATAAGCACACACCTGGGGTGAAGATACAGGCACAGCAAGGAATACAATATAAGCAGCACACTACAGGCAGCTGCACTATAAGAAGCGCACTAGAAGTAACGTACAACTAGGGAGGACACTATAAGCTATAAGGGGGTCACATTGCAATCCGCCCAGCAACATAAACAGGCAACAAAAACCATAAGCGACACAGTACAAGCAGCATACCATGAGAGGTTGAGTGATACGAGGTGAGTGCAGCGTGCAATGCCCTCCAGTCCAGTGTCGGTCAGATGCTGTTGGTTGGAGAGGGATGCAGTGCGATAGAATGGAGAGGAGGAAAGGGAGAGACCGATTTTGAGGCGCCTCAAAAATAGCGTGCCATGCCCTTCAGTCGACTTTTGAGTCGACTCAAAAGTCAACTCTTCAATCCCTTGTCTGTGAGAAGCTGTTGGGGGAGGAGTGGGATGAGACGTGAGGCGAGATGTGACTGAGAACAAGTAGAGCACTAGCTTGTGTAGTCCAGGCCTTGACGCCCATCCCTCAGAGAGGTGAGAGCAGCGTGAACTGCCCTCCAGTCCCTCGTCTGTGAGATGCTGGAGGAGGGAAGTTACACGAGAGACAGGATCACAAGAGAGGGGTGAGATGTGATGGTAAGGTGAGAAGCAAGACGTAACTGATAACAAAAAGAGCGATGGTTTGTCTGCTGGGTCCACTTTCAGTCGACTCTAAAGTCATTTCGGTAGACAATGCCCATCCCTGAGGGAGGTGAGTGCAGCGTGCAATGCCCTTGTGGCCTCCCTCAGGGATGACCAATCCCTTGCCACCTTCATGTGTGTTTTGAGTCGACTCAAAACACACCAGCGCCAGTGCTGATCGAGCATCTGGGATGTTTTGAGTCGACTCAAAACACACCAGCGCCAGTGCTGATCGAGCATCTGGGATGTTTTGAGTCGACTCAAAACACACCAGCGCCAGTGCTGATCGAGCATCTGGGATGTTTTGAGTCGACTCAAAACACACCAGCGCCAGTGCTGATCGAGCATCTGGGATGTTTTGAGTCGACTCAAAACACACCAGCGCCAGTGCTGATCGAGCATCTGGGATGTTTTGAGTCGACTCAAAACACACCAGCGCCAGTGCTGATCGAGCATCTGGGATGTTTTGAGTCGACTCAAAACACACCAGCGCCAGTGCTGATCGAGCATCTGGGATGTTTTGAGTCGACTCAAAACACACCAGCGCCAGTGCTGATCGAGCATCTGGGATGTTTTGAGTCGACTCAAAACACACCAGCGCCAGTGCTGATCGAGCATCTGGGATGTTTTGAGTCGACTCAAAACACACCAGCGCCAGTGCTGATCGAGCATCTGGGATGTTTTGAGTCGACTCAAAACACACCAGCGCCAGTGCTGATCGAGCATCTGGGATGTTTTGAGTCGACTCAAAACACACCAGCGCCAGTGCTGATCGAGCATCTGGGATGTTTTGAGTCGACTCAAAACACACCAGCGCCAGTGCTGATCGAGCATCTGGGATGTTTTGAGTCGACTCAAAACACACCAGCGCCAGTGCTGATCGAGCATCTGGGATGTTTTGAGTCGACTCAAAACACACCAGCGCCAGTGCTGATCGAGCATCTGGGATGTTTTGAGTCGACTCAAAACACACCAGCGCCAGTGCTGATCGAGCATCTGGGATGTTTTGAGTCGACTCAAAACACACCAGTGCCAGTGCTGATCGAGCATCTGGGATGTTTTGAGTCGACTCAAAACACACCTGGATGACCCTTGCCGCCTCCCTCAGGGATGACCAATTCCTTGCCGCCTCCCTCAGGGATGACCAATCCCTTGCCGCCTCCCTCAGGGATGACCAATCCCTTGCCGCCTCCCTCAGGGATGACCAATCCCTTGCCGCCTCCCTCAGGGATGACCAATCCCTTGCCGCCTCCCTCAGGGATGACCAATCCCTTGCCGCCTTCATTCCTTCACACCTTCACACACACCGCTATAGACGCAACATTCGACCATCATACCTTCATGCCGCACAGGTCGAGCACTTGCAGGTGGGAGAGGTGCCCGATGGTTGCCAGGGAATCATCTGTAAAGCTGGTGGGTGGAGGGTGGGTGTGGGGGGAACGAGGGGAGGCACGGAGGGGACGAGGTGCACTCGCAGGTGGGAGAGGTGCCCGATCCGATGGTTGAGGAAAAGAGGGGCACAGGTCTGTGAAGCTGTTGGTAGAGGGGGGGTATGGGGAGTGAGGGGGATGAGGAGAAAAGGGGCAAAATGCGTCTTCCCCTCAAGCACTCGCAGGTGGGGTAGTCGCCCGATGGTTGCCACGGACTCGTCTGTGAAGCTACAAGGAGGATAGGGGAGGGGAGTGAGGGTGGAAGTGCGGAGTGAGGGAGGGTGGGGGAGGGGAGTGAGGGTGGGAGTGGGGAGTGAGGGAGGGTGGGGGAGGGGAGTGAGGGGCTGAAGAGGCAAGGAGGTCCAGCCGCTTGCAGCTGGGATAGGCACCCGATGGTTGCCATGTCAGAGACTCATTTGTGAAGCTACCAGGCAGAAGAGAGATGAGAGGTGAAGCTCATTAATGAGGCTCATGAATGAGAGGGGCAATTCAGGAAGGAGTTTTGACGGGAGATGTTAGCGAGTGACAAGAATACCTGGCCTGGAGTAAGAGTGCGTAGAGTTTTGAGTCGTCTAAAAAAGAAGTACCTGGAGAGTGCGTAGAGCAGCAGTTCTTCCAAATGGAAGCATCCCGCTGTGATGTTCTTGAGACCCTTGTCTGTCGCTTGCACGCACCTGCTGGGTGATACACGTAACACATGCACACACACACGCATATACATCCAGGCATACACACACGCACGCAGGCACGCACATGGGGCACATGAGTCAT